CCTACGGACAAAACAGAAGTTCAGGAACAGGTTTGCTGGTAGGGCTGGTTTTCCAGTTTGTCCGTAGGGTTGTTTTTGCCCTTCAGAGCCCTCAGGGAAGCCTCCTAAGGGCCCCTGAAGGCTCCAGAAGGCTAAAACCGATCCTGCGAGCAAACCAGAAGTCCGTTCCCAAAGTTCCGGTTTGCCCATAGAGCTGGTTTTTCACGCTCAAGGCTTCAGGGAAGCCTTTGGAGTGCGAAAAATGGCCTCAAAAGGAGGCTGAGGTCAGGTGTGCGCGCTGGGCAGCTGGCAGGGCAAGCTTTAGATGCCTTCGATTCGCCATCACAGATGTAGGTGTTTGTAGCTTATTTATGAAGAGACGCCTGTGGTATGGATGGGTTGGAGTGAGCGGTCATTACAACTTTGAGAGAGAAATAACAGTGACTCAAGATTTATTAAAAGATTATAAAGAATACAAAAGTTTATAGAAAATTCCATGATAATTAGTTTTTTAAATACTTTATGTGACATTCTTGCTTTTTTTGCTGGAGGTTTTTTGAATATGGAAAAAAAACATTTCATTCCTGAGAAATATTGGTAAACTGAGTGGAGAAAAATATGCAGGTGTGCAAAGTTACAGCCATTATTTGTTCAAAGTAACCAATGATACAGATATGTTCTCTCTTGAAATAGATCAGTGTATAGTTGATGGGGTCACATATGACGTTAATCAGACTTTTCACAAACGTCACGAAGAAGGACACATGCTGAACTGTACGTGTTTCGGCCAAGGTCGTGGGAGATGGAAGTGTGATCCTATTGGTAAGTTGATTTCTTTCATGTTCGTGTCGGAAGCACCAAGGCGCTTCAGGGTTGAAAGGATCAGCTGATGATACCACCGTTGCCCAAAGGAAAGCCCAGTGGGGGCTTCTTTAATATGCTCACTGAAGTGGTATCTGTCTATCGACTTTGCTATTGCACACTTTAGAACTTCTAGGTTGGCAGGAGCTGGAGTAAATGACGGAAGCTCACTGCGCCATGCAGCACCCTCGGGTCTCGAACTCGAGTTCACTGATCATCAACTCAGCATCCTAATCATGCTTAGCATGCTCGTGTTTCATCTTAGAGCAATATACTACAAGGGGCTCCCACCAAGACTATGCCAGTAATTTTAGGCTGCTGCAAACTATCAGTAACAGTAAGAATTGGGCTACAAAGGAACCTCTATGACTTAATGCTTATCTACATCCCTTCCACCACCTCCAACCTCCGGCTTCTATTCTTTCTCCTGGGTTTTTCTTCCATTTGTGCACTGCAGAAGACAACCAAACTATTGCTTTTCCCCCTAGTTGGTTGTTAATCCAGCCTTCATGTAATCCAAGTTAGATAGTTCTATGTCTCAATTTAGAAACCCTAGAATTAGAGAACTAAGGTAGGGCTCTAACTAGTACTATCTTACCTGAAACAAAGTAAGCATATTTTATGTGGCTTCTGCCTAGTTTTGCTAAACGCATCAAAAGAATCTGGGAAGGGGTTGACTCAGACTTCCCCAGAAGAGGAGAAGGAGGGCAGGTGGCAGCATCAGAGGTGGCTTTCAGCTGGTTCTCTCCGGTTCGGGTGAAGCGGTAGCGGTGGCTGCAGAAGCCTCCGCACCCCTGCCTCGATGTCATGCCCGAGCACTGCGCATGCGCAG